TCGTAAGTCATGTTGTAGGATGTTTGCCAGTTCTTCAAAATATATAACTAATGTATTCCAGTGAATGTGGTTTACAGCTTTGTACTAAGTTCCATTATATTTTTACTGCTCATTTACTTAACTCCTAATTCACTGTGGTAAATAGTAATTCGCCCCAGTGTTAATTACGTCTGAATAATTGGCTAAACTTTCTTGTGCGTGCTACTTTGCATTCGCCAACATGAGCTTCCTTGATCATCTGTGTGTTGTGATCTTCTGTGACTTCTCAGTCACTTTTAGTTTTTAATTTTTCGAATGATTCTGGACCATCTTGCACATTTTGTGAGCTGTGTGACTGTGTTGAGCAGAGAAGTGGACAAATCCTCACACCGGTCTTTGGATGTCCTCCCTGGGCAGCTCTCTCCACCCGGCTCCTCCTCTTGGTTTTTGCTCTGAGCACTTTGCTGCCCTTCCTGGCCCTTTGATGATCTTAGAATCGTAGAATCATGGAATCGTTAAGGACGATCTAGGGATCGTCCAGTCCAACCCCTGCACACGCAGGGTCACCTAGAGCACGTGGCACAGGGCTGCGTCCAAGCGGGTTTGAAGATCTCCAGAGAAGGAGACTCCACAACCTCCCTGGGCAGCCTGTTCCCGTGCTGTCACCCTCGCTGATGAGACACTGGGTTCTTTAGAGCTCTCCTCCAAAGGCCCTGCCCAGGGCCGTGCACGCTCGGGTGCTGCCGTAGCGGCTGCTTTTGTGGTTCTGGTTGAGGTGTGCGCGGCCGATGACGTCCCGCGCTGCCGTCGCCCGTGCTGATCCGCAGGGCTCCTGGCGCTGCCCCCCGTGCGGGTTGTGCTAACGGTGAAGATCGCAAACCAGCGCCGAGGACCTGGCTGAACCTCCGTGGGCGGCAGTGCCATAACCAGGCCCTCCTCGTTTATACAGGACTGTAGTAGGAGCCTATGTCAGCCATTGTGCCGTAAATCACAAAAAATAGTGTTAAACTGGCAGCAATGTGTAAGAAAGAAAAGTCAAGGTATAACTTCTGCTAATGCGTGTGTGTTTTACATTTTTGTATACAATGGTATTTTCATCTTTTTATTTTTGTAGTGGCAAGGAATAGGAAAATTAGATTCTTTTTTCCTTCATTATTTCCCTGCATTACTACTTCTGGCTTACAGTATAGTCTTCTGAATTAAATGCTGTTGGTATTGTAAATATTAATACAAAGACATACTCGTATGGACTCTGAATTTTAATGCTTCTGTTAGGCTTTAACTAGAGGGCACAAGATTAAAAGGAGCCAACTTTTATAAATCCAGGCTGCAGCTTCCATTGCCTTTCCTCAAATCTCAAATATCCGGCCACCTTCTTCCGAATCACTGCAGTCATTTAAAATATCAGCTTGGTGTTTGCATTCTGCGTTGGCTGTTCCTGTCGTGCTGGTGGAGAATGCTCAATGAGCGCTCGTGAATCCCCTATCCGCGATCCAGGGGAGGCTGCAGGAAGCGGAGCTCGTGGGGGTGTGCGGGATCCCGTGCCGGGGCCGCGCGGAGCGGAGCGGCCTCGCGGCTCCGTGGCTTTCCCGCTGCTCCGGGCTCCCGCGTGGCCCTGAGCAGCCTCCATGTGGAAAAGCCCCGTTATTTGTGTGCGAGGGGAAGCGCAGCACGTGGAGGCTGGGCATTAACGGGCACGTCCTCTGGAATGGCCTTTCCCTCTGCCCTCGCGGGAGTCTCCCTGTGGGATAATGTGGCTCCCAAACACTGTTGTATTGAACATCGGCGTTAGGTTCCTTTGGATGGCTCTGTCCCCGCCCAGAGCTAATGCACAGACTCATTTATGATTTCTTATTCTATGAACACCTGACACCAATTCAGATCTATGCTTCATCCCAAACGTAACGTGGAGCCTTCAAGTGAGGTATTCGAAGGGCACCGTGTGCGGTGGGTTGTGCTGAAGGCAGCAGGCCCCATGCAGCCCATTCCACCCCACGAGCAGCCCTTGCTCCCCTGCTCCGCTGGAAGGTTCTGCAGAGGCCGTTGATCTGCTGCTTCAATGTGTTCCCGTTTCCATTTATCCCATTTGCTTTTGCCAGTGATATACCTTAACCTAAATAGCTCTTTTTCGTTTAGATTAAACCGTATATGTGCACATATATATGTGTGTGCGTACGTAAGCGCGCAGCGCGTCAGCGCCGTGTCAGCGTCCCCCATATTTTGAATTCACGCTCTGGAATGCAGTATCCTTCCTCGGTGACGGGGTGTCCTGGTTTCTCCCCGCAGAGCCGTACATGCGGCGCGCGCCGCGATGAGGCTGCGCACGCGGAAGGCGGCCCAGCAGGCCCGCGCCATCCACACGCAGCGGGCGCTGCGGGCCAAGCGGAAACACGCGGACGGGGAGGAGAGCCTGCCCCGCCGCGGGGGCCGCAGAAGAATGAAACGGGCTTGTTGTCCTCCATCAAGAAGCTCATCAAGGGGAGCGCGCCCAAGGTACCGTGCGCCTCCGTGCCTTTCTTCGCGTGGCTTTGTGCTGGGTCGTACTCAGTTACACTGGATAAAAAAAAATATTAAGAATAAATAAAAGGATATAGATGATGTTCCTTTGGAAGCAGAATCTTTTTGCAAATAATTGGAAAGCCAGAAATACCCGTGATAAGCTCAAACCTGCAAAACCCACTGGAGTCAATTGTAGATATATTAGATATATTTAAGACAATCCAATAAATTATAGGATTTATTACTAATGTGCTACTTTGTGCAAATGTGGAATAATAAATTCAATGCCTTTTAAAAAATGGTTCAAATATTCTTTTGAATTTGGGAATTATCTGTGCAAGGAGCTAAGTGGAGCAAGTGTGTAAGCACAGGTTGGCAGTGGCTGTTGGCATTCCT